TATATATATATATATATATATATATATATATAGTCCTGAATTATCTGGTAATTTTCTCAGTTCTCCAGTCTACTTTCTAGATATAGCTTAAAAGTTATGATGAAGCATTAATCTTTCAGTTAAGTCTAAACTCCCCAAAAGTGGCTTTAAGTTTGATATTCTCTCTCTCAAATCTTTTAGTGTCACCCCATAACACAATACTGTAATTTGGGCAGTACTTTTTGTTATATAATTGCTGCATAATAGGAACTTAATGGTGTAACAGGACTTATGTTTCAAATGGGATCGTTGTAAAACATAATTACACCAGTTGCAGTTAAAAGAATGTAAATGTATTAAGTCAGCTACCCTAATATTCTGGTTCCTCCCTCCCTCCCTTCCTTTCTTCTTTCTTTCTTTTTTTTTGCTTCTCCCTTTACCTCTTTCCCTTTTCAGTCTTTTTCTTTTCTTTCTACTCTCCTTTCTCAACGGCTCTTTATTTTTCTTTTTTCTTTCTTTGAAAAAAATTCAGGGGCAACAAAAAGAGTCCCACAAATGAAACCCATGGAAATATAATGCTGAAATGAATAGCTAGAAAAATTGTTATAGATCAAAAGATAAATCAGTTTCATAAAACTGCTATTTTGAAATTGCAACAATCTTGTACAATCAGGACTGATAAAATGGAGTAATCAGACGTTTCATATGTCCATAAATGTAAAATCATCTACTTGAACATTATATGCAATACATTCACACAAAAAAGCAAATACTGTAGCCTTATTTGAACAATATTGAACTCATAAATACTCATGATTTCACTCTGTCCAGGGGCCTAACAACTAGGAATGCTGCTTGATACAGAAAAACATAGTGAATACCTCCTCTATTTAAAAAGTCACTCAAGAAATTCTCTTCTAACATAAAGGCAAATACATATAGCTACTGAGCTATGACTGTACTTCTGTCACATCCTATGGGAAAAACACCAGACTCCACAAATTCGGAATCATGACAACACTTTGAACTAATTATTTGGTTCATCCATAGTTTATACCTCAATTTACCTCACATTTACCCTACAAACCTTACAAAGAGGAGGTATTTTTAACTCTAGGAAAGTGATCACTGTATAATATGCATTCTTGATCTGTTTCTTTCTCCCAAACAATGGTACTGATGGTTAACACTTTTGTGGTAGCACCACTATTTCTAGTAAGTAGATTATTATGGAGTGTGCCACTTTAAAGCTGCAATACACACAAAAAATATTTTGTAGTTTACTCACCAATTCCACAAAGAATATTTTTAAAAAGCAAATCAATAATAATCAAAGTTAAAATGCCATATGTGTTTAAGAAAAACCCTATATCAGTCAAAATAATGTAATAAATTATTACAGTGGGTAAATTTAATAGCATTATGCCATATTATTGCCATTTTATGGAAATATTGTACATTTATGCCTCCTCATTTAGGATTCACATTTCTAATTAAAACAGATTTATGGTGTACTTTGGGACTAAATTTTACTTACATTTTACTTACATACATTTCTTTCAGGGCAAAATATTAGATATCTTAAATGTATACAATTTCTGTGAAATGTCTTGTTTCTAACTATATTAGTAGGTGTTTTGTAGTTATTATGACTTGCAAAAGGGAACTATTTGCAGAAATCTCTCTAGGTATAGTGAAATTGGTAACTTTATTAAACCTGTAAAATGGCTTCCAAGGCTATGGTCTTTCTTTAGTAAAGAGTAACACCAACAAACTATTCTTGTAATATAATACTTCTTAGAGTAACAGCATTTTCTTTCAAAAATGTAGTTTTCATTCTTTATGATAGAAATAATTTAATATCCATGATAAATTAATAATTAGTAGATTTTAAGATATTCTTCATCACCGGTGGCTGGTCTCCATTTGAACACATCTTACATATATCATATAAGAAGAAATAAAGCATGGTAATTTTTTTTTTTTCATTTTGGCCTTGTTTGTTTGAGCTGACTGGCTATAGAGAAAGATTTAACTGCAGAATTTGTTATTTCAGAGGTTGATCTGCTGCATACCAGCATGGAATATTTGTTATAATATATTTTGGAGCTTTCTAAATACAATATGCATACCAAACTATCAACTGAGTGATGTTTTCAGATGGAAAATAGGCAAAATACACCTATCCACAGGAACACTATATCTAGCATACCAACTTACCTGCCACAGAACCAAAAATTTTGAGTGCTTACCAACTCATGTAATATTAGGTAATTGGACTTTTGTCCTTTCTGACAAACCATCTTAAAAATTTTGGCCTGGAACAGTGAAAGGAAAAGTTGCTGTATTGCTAGGCAATCCTTCGGATAGACTGTACTATCATTTTAAAGGGAATTATTTCCCAGAGTGGATCTAATATTTAGCTACAACTAAAGAAATCATATGGTAGATTTACCTGTACTATGTTAGTTAAATTGTTTTTCATCACAAAACTGAGTCATCGTGGGGCAAAATTCTCAAAATGTGGGAAGAGATTTTTACAGCTTGACAACTCCTTTATTCTTTAGAGACAGGATATAGTTTAACTTTATCATTGTGGTTTACTTTTGCTTTCAAATTATAGAATTTGGCAAAAACACTTTTATTAGTTGGAGATGAAGAGAAAATTATTATTTCATGAAGGCACACCCATGCTGAACTTACAGGAAAGAGAAGCAGAGCTGCACAGCCAGTTATATTACAAGGCTCATTCCTGAAACCTGAATATCATGCGAGCAGAAAAATCTAGATATGTTATATTTTGAAGAAATGATCTGAAGGCAGTACTATTTGCTTTTTTATCAAAAGAGAAAAAAATGCATCTTTGTAAATGTGGATTGATTCTTATTGAAACAGGGAAATGAATGCTTGTATTGCAGCCTTAAAGAATCACATATTCACTGCAATATTCGTTTTTTGTAAACTACAGCCTGCAACCTAGCAGACCATGACTGAATGCTTTTGAAAAGTTGTAGATTACAAACATGAAATCACAATTAATATCCTCTAAAAGTAATTTCAGAGCTTTCACATCTTAAAAAAAGGACAATGTGTACTGCTTCACAAGGTAATGTAGCTAATCAAAAAAAGAGTAGAATTAAAGTATTTACATAATGAGCAATTCTACAGAAGGCGATCATCCCCATGTAAGCATTGCTGATTATATCCCACGCTGCTTTTAACAAACTGTACCAGATTGGATCGAGCCATCAGCACTTTCAGAGAATCCTTAAAAGCCTTTTATGGGTCTTTAAATTTATTGTAGAATGGCATTCTTCAGGTAGAATATGCTGGTGAAAGAGGACAGTGTCAACACAAGGTACCAGCAGGAGAAAAGAACGTCAGCGCTCCCGGTAATTCCATACTGGGCTGTACTTGGAGCTGGAAAGAAATGGAAAAGAATAAATCAAAATCTAATTTGTGTCTTTCAAGATCTTAACAATAATCAAAAGGCAGCTGGGTGTACTGGGGAGAACACTGGCATTGGAGTCAGACAGACTTAGGTTCACATCTGGTTCTGCTGTATGACAATGCGTGGCCTATTTGACTAACCTCTCTGAGCTTCACTTTTCTCAAGGGCAAAATAGAAATAATATAATCCACCTGGCAGGGCTGCAGTGAGAATTGGAGATGAAGCACATGTAGCACGTTGCACTGGGCTGGACACACACTAAGTATTCAACAAATATCAGCTAACATTATTATTCCTATTATATTCATTGTAAATATTTGCATTAGTGGACAATATTCATTTAGTATATATTTTAAAATTTTATTGAGATATAATTGACTTATAACATTGTTTTAGTCTAAGGTGTACAACAGTGTTGATTTGATACATTTATATATTGCAATGTGATTACTATCATAACGGTAGCTAATACCTCTATCATGTCACATAATTATCATTTCTTTTCTGTGGTGGGGACAATTAAGATCTAGTCTCTTAGCAACTTTGAAGGTATTGTTGTCTATAAACACTATGCTGTGCATTAGCTTTCCAGAACTTATTTATCTACTGATTGTTAGTCTGTACACTTAAACAACAATCTCCCCAGTTTCCCCAGCTCCCAGCCTCTCGTAACCACTATTCTACTCTCTGTTTTTACAAGTTCTACTTTTTTTAGATTCCACATTTAAGTGATATCATACATATATACATGCATATATTTTTGGATCTTTTTTATCGGTCAAATACTATACAAAATGCTGGAAAAACAAAGAGATTTTCTCTTCTAATACCTTTTCCAATCCTAGGAACATTAGAATTGCATGTGCAAACTGCAGTGACACAGAAAACTGTGTATTTAAATCTGCCTGGCCAAGGGAAGGATGATTTAACAGAGAGTTTTACCAAAGGGGACCATCATTTGGGTAGGGAAAACAATATATTCAAAGGCATGAGGAAAGGAGAGAACACGGCATGTATTCTAGGATCTAAAAGTAGGTTAGTCTTGCTGGACTGTGAAGTTTGAGGCCTGGAGTGGAGAGAATTTAAATGGAACTGTAGACAGATAGAATGACCTTGCCTGTAATGAAAAAAGTTTAGCTTTTTAGACTGAAGGAGATTTTGAAGAATTTGGAGCTGTTGAATTGTATGATTACATTCATACATTGGAAAGATCACAGTTTTATACATAGAGAAGCTCCTGTGGGTACTTGGCTAACAGTTACGTTGAATTTTCACTGAGAGGTTTCACCTAGAGATTCACCAAGCTTGGGATACTGTGAGAGTCTACTGAATGGATTCCACTTCGTTTCACAGAGGACAGTTGCCTCTTTGAATGTGAATTATATTGTGTTACAGAAACTGTCACAGGCATGCTCAGCTTTGCTTGAGACTGATTCTCATTTACCATAAGAATAAGAATAGTAATAATAAAAAACTCCACCAACATACTTTTAACTACCTCTTCTTAATGAAACCTGGATTTCATGCGCTGTTTCCTAGTAGGAAATGAATAATGCAATTAAAAAAATAGTGTTTCACCCCCAAATTCATAAATCCAGATGCTGTTTTAGTCACACTAAGTTTCAATTACCAACAGCTAGTTTTTAATGGAACTTTCACCAATGACTATATTTTCATGTTACAAGAAGAATAAATTGTGTTGTTTATAACTCTAAGAAATTAAAGGAGATGAAAGATGCATTGGCCTCTGCCAGTGGGGAGTTTTCTTGACAGTACAATTGTTGATTCTGTGTGAGTGAGATTCAAGGGCTGAGACTACTACTCTTTAGTAAACATGGAGCAAAATCAACTATTTGATGTTTTTATTTGCATCACAAATGAGTTTTAAACAAGGAGAAGATGATGAAGAAAATAAGTCTATTGTTGAACAGATAGCTTTTCAAGTTTTGATATGTAAGAAGTCTAATTTAAAACCACAAAACTCCTTAAATTATTTTCTCTTGTTCAAGACTTAGAACGATGTTTTATTTTTCTAATATAAACAAATATTTAATTGGTCTGTTACCTTCTCAGTGACAGCTATGTCAGAGTTGTTTTTGCTGTATTTTTAAGAATCTTGAGTGCAATAAAACTGGTATAATAATACAGGACTAATAATAAGCAAAGCACATAAAATGATTTCATAAATAAGAAATAGATCTTAAAAGCCAAGCACACAAAGCAAAGATAACATTTTTATATCATGACAATTTAAATAGTACATTAAGTGGGTAGAGTATAAAAGACTCTCAAAACTCCTTACTCATCCTTTAAAATGCATTTTTGGGGCAATCTTTCCTGAATTCCTTCTATTTCTCCAACAAGCTGAGCAGATTACCGTATTGTGTCATTAGGTCACAACATATATTCCTTTTTATACAACTATCATACTGCATTGCAAATATTTGTGTACATATCTATTTCTCTCACCAGAGTGTAAACTCTCCTAGGTCATGTTTTATTTATCTTAGTGTTTCCAGACACAATGTCTGGCAAGTTCTGGTACACAGTGGATATTCAAGAAATATCTGTTGAATGAACAATTCAATTAAATAAATAAATAGGTCAGAGTTAAAAGGAGTATGTCTCTCCTACAAAACAGAATCTCTTCTGAAGCAAGCCATTGTCTATAAGCTAGAGAATCTACCATATGCTTTCTTTCATTCATTCAGCAAATATTTATTAAACTAGGTGCCAGGGACTGTACTAAGTTCTGGAAATACAATATATAATAAGGTGGGTATGATCCTTTTGTTACTCAATTTCATATATCTCCATATATATTCCTTTTTTTCATATACCTTAAATGCCATCTTTTTCTCCAATGTGCCTCTGTCTTCTACTCAGCCTCCTATTGTTTTAGACATGACAAATCTATATCATATTTAAAAATTAAATATTACTTTGTAATTAACAGTATATAATTTTTCCATGGATGTCTCAAATGGATATATTTTTTAGTTGTTTGTGAATGCAATACTTCCATTAGTCCTAAAATAAAGTAGGAGCCTTTTGCAGCACTGTTACTTGCAATTATTGAATATTATCGAAAATGTACTGTAAAGTAGCTATTGACAATTAGTAGACCCCAAAATAAAGAGCAAAGTTAGCTAAGGGAATGTGAGGTCAGATATCTAATGCCAAGTCATATATCATGTATCATCTTTAAGTATACATCGAGCATCGTTTTTTGGTCCTGGGAATTGAACACAAGCAAAGATAAATAAAACTCAATCTCCCCTCAGGAAAGTTTCATTCTACTTGGAGATATAAATAAAAAGGCAAATATTGAACATTAGGATTTATATAATTACTATAAGGATAATGAATGAACATGGGAGGGCTCCCCAAGGACTCATGGCAGGTAAGTAGTCCAGGCAGCAGACACAGTAACAACTATTTTTTACAAAATGCAGTGATATACACATATTAGTACATATATATATATCTCACTTTAAAAAACTACAGCATAGTAAAGTAGCCCATTGACTTAGGTATCTTATTATTATGTAATGTTTATCTCATTGACTGATATTTATTATGTGTTTTGGGGGGACTTGTAAACTGAGTGATTTAGAGTACAAGGCTAATGGTACTAAAGTTAGGGGTCTTAGTGCTATTTGGGCCACTTAGATTTGCTTGGCATGTTAAATCCCAATCAGCTATTTAAGAAATTATAGAAAATGTTAAGAAATTAAAGAAAATAACTGTTAGCTATTAGAAATTAGCTTTAAGAATCAATTCAGATATCATCTTTAAAAAGTGAAATGTCTTTATAAAACCATATGAGAAATTAACTTGGCATTATATTTAATATCATATTTACATATCTATCTTTCCGCATTAGACCAAGAATGTCTTCAAGACAAGATTTATTTTATGTATATTTTATCACTGGTACAGAACACAGAGTCTAGTGCTTAGTAAGTGTTCAATTAAGTATTTGTTGAATGATGATAAAGTTCACATCCATTTCCAATATTATCACCATAAACACATAAGGGGACACAATATCTTGACTTCTTTTTTCAGAAGAATACTTTCATGACCATATTTTATTCTTTCTTCTCTTTCTACTTTTAGACTCATTCTTACCTTCTAAGACCTGTACAGATTCAGAATACCTTCCTTCAGCATTTCAGCAGGACCAGGAAGAAAGATCATGAGGCAGATTATAGGGGAAGAGCATGTATCAAACTTTGTAGCATCATCCTCTTGCAGCAAAAGACAGGGAGTGTAGAGTAACCTGGGCCCCCATATATGGTCCTGAATTTGGAGACATCCAGCTATGTCTCTGGGATGGTCAGATTTGTAGTATGTTCCCTGCCATGTTTTTAGTTGCCTGTGAATATCATACTGCTACTCATTCTAAGTAGTATTAGAAGGGAAAGGGCATGTGATCACAGGTGTAGTTGGGCTATAGTGAGGGTTTGTTTTCCTTCTGAGTGATATGAGAAGCCACAAGACAGTTTCATGCAGAGGAGGCTAGCTGAAATTTTAAAATACACTCTTGACTACTCTGTGGACAGTAGATTGTACTAGTGTAGGCAAGAGTAGAAGCCTACGTTAGCCCCAACCTTCAGGGGTTTCCATTGCCTGTGGAGGGAAGCCAAAGTTATGTAGCTCAGCATTCAGGGACATCTATTATCTGGTTCTAGTCAACTTATCCAGACTCATACACACTGTTAGCTCCAGTCACATGAGCCATTTTCTAAACACATAGAGTGTTTTCATTATTCCCCGTCATTTGTACATACTATATCCTTAAGCCTAAAAGGCGTTACTTCCTATTCTCCTTCTCCACCTATCAAAGTCCTATTCCTCCTTAAAGATCTAAAATACCACCTCCTCCATAAGGCCCCCCCCATCTCTCTAATAAGAATTGTTAGTCTCCTGCTTATACCCGATTTCATAAATATATCCTTTTTTA